TCAATGCCTAAGCGCTGCAGTGAAGTTGTGCTTGCACGTGGGGACAAGACGAAGTACTAGTAGCATAAAAGTGCTATAATCCTGGACATTTTTCTTTGAATTTGTTGAAATATGTAAGGTGGCTTTAAGTACTGTACCTGTCGCACCCCAAATTTGACTTCTGTCTATTTTTCGCGAAGTGTTCAATTTCATTCACTCCAACAGCCTGCATAGTAGCCCATGACCACCATTGCGATGATAACACAATCCGTTTGGGCGAATTGAACGCATAAACTGCTGATAGCACAGAAAAACAGGGTGTAAGTACATGGCGCGCACTGTACTTGATCCATGACGGGCCATCTACAACATGGAGATCATACGCAGCGACAAGAGCGTCCTTATCTCAAGAGCGCGCCGCATTCGAACGCGGACTGCGAGCCGGGAGACAATCCCGGCGGGCACCCGCCCACTTGCAGCTCGAACCAAGGCGAAATTAGTCATCCTGTTCGCCAACAGCCCCACATTGTGCGGCAATTGGCCCAGCCGCCGCTTCCCACCTCGCTCGCGTTTCAACAACACCAAGACGAACACAATGATGTCTTCAAACATCGTTTCGTCTTGGTACCGTACGACCCGCGGAGCGTCGTAGGTCTAGTCCACAAATTCCGCCAAGGGAATTTCTAAAATCGTCATGTGCTCCAAGGCACACACCGGCCACATCACCTGGGTCTCGAACAACCCACTCCGTCAAAACAGAGTGAGATATCGCTCCACCGGCTCGCGCAACGCCGGTGTCCACCCCCAATCCTGCAACCGCGAGTCCAGCTGCTGCAACACCCGCAAACGGCGCGTTCTGCCGTTGATATTGTCCACGCAGACGCCGAGGGCGGAATCGTCCTGTTCGTGCAGCTTCAAGGTGCGGACATCCTCCAAACGCACTTTGCGCATTCCGAGCGGTCCATTCTCGACCGCCATTTGCCCAACGCCTTCATCCTTGATCTTGATGTTCGGCGCTGCTTGCACCCCTGGCGCCGCTTGCCCAACCGGCGGCTCTTGCACCTGTACCACCGCAGGTGTCGCTCCCGCGCTTACCTTTCCCGCTTGGTCTTCGGCAGCTTGGGCTGCCTGTGCTTCGGCCTTGGCTATTGACTCAGCCATTGACTCCTCGGCAGCCTGCTCCATCTCCCGCTAGAGCCACATGTTTTCCTTTCTGCGGCGCTTTTCCAAGACCACGATCTCGTTTCGCAGGAGCTCCCGCACTGCTATGGGTCCCACCTTGCGCAGCGCAGTTTGAACCAAGTCGGCCGCTGCCTGGTGCTCCACACGGATCCGCTGCTCTTCCTTCTTCATGAATAGGTCAAGCAGCGGATCTTCACTGCCCGTCCGGAGATGCTGGGTCCCCGCGAAGAAGTACTCTTCACTGTCTGAGTCGTCACCCGTCCAATCCAAGACCTCTTTGGCCTTCTTCTGTTGGTCGTCGGCCATGCCGTCAAATTCAAGAATGCCTCCCAGGATGAGTGAAGTTGATGATCGCCAGTTGCCAACGTCCAAGGGCCAGTGTCATAGTTCCGGATACAAGATCCGGATCCACGTGGCTCTACCACGGCACACAGGTTGAAGACAAAGTTAGTCCCAAACCCACGAGCGGTCAACGACGCCGCTACGTGCCAAGGAAACAGCAAAGGGGTCGCCGCCCCTTTGCTTCGGACCACCCCCGGCCCTTTATGTTTACCAGCTCAAGATGCTGGTCCTGCTTAGCTTAGTCATAGCGTTAGATTGCTATAACGCTATCAATTCACTACTCAATTTACCATCTACTGTGCCTTCCTCTGCGCACGCACGTTTACACCTACCCCACTTCCGAGCCCTCGGACTTGCGTGCTTGGACGTCACGCCTCATCGACGACCAACCATGGAGGCTGTCGTTTCACAGCTCTGCACATGGACACAAGATTCGTCTGTTCTGTCGGACTTGGTGTTTGTCTCGAATGTCTCCACGAACGCGACCTTTCACTAACAATTGCCATATGCTCTATTTACTTTACTTCGTCCGTCTTGTACCCCATGTACTGTAGCTCCCACATGCAGTCTATGCTGGCCCTTTCACTGTCAACATATATTGCGTGCTTGTGGCAGTTACGCAGTTACCACGGTCAAAATAGTGGTCAAAATAGTGGGTGAGTAATTTGTTTTTGTGAACTGATCGTTTTTCAAAACATGACAAGATATATTATCGAAATAGTTTGACATGGTGTGATATTCAAACTAATTGTGACCCGGACACATGGCTCATCCAAGAGTGCCAGACGACGACAATAATAATACAGCAAGTTGTGATGCGGGTTGTGCGATGCATCGCGGCTGGCCTTGTGGCGGTGGTGGCGATAGGGCGGAACACAGCAAGGATCACAAGAAGAAGTTCCTGAGTAAGTCGCAAGCGCTGGCGACATCCAAGCGCACGGATTTACTCAAGACGCATCATGTGTTTGGATTCGCCATCGACGCGTCCAAGACGAAAAGTGCATTGAAGGCCATTGCCAAGCGCAACAAGGCAGCAGCATCTGCCAGCAAGTCAAAGAAAGGAGTGGCCAAGATAGGCAAGGCAAAGAAACAGTGTGGGATGACCACCTCGGCCAAAGCCGAGGCATTCACGAGTGGCTCCTCCACGCTCCTCACAACTTGCAACTACGGCGCCACGATGAAGTGTGCATTTTGGCTAAAAAAGACGGTGAATGCGTACCCCAATACATCACGGCTTTGCCGAACGGCAACACGACGGATGCTCGCTTCATCAAGATCGAATACCTTAAGGACGTCCTGGACATTACTGTCATTCCATCGTCGTTTGAGACGGTGTACGTTTGCTCCCGTCCTTGCATTTCTCGTTGCTAACGCAGTCGTAGTAACTTTGCCGACTTGGACCGAGATGTGAAGCTTGTCGGTCAGACCGTCCCTATCGGCACCCGTGTGCTGTACGTCCAGAGATGACTGCGCATCGCCGTCACCTATTGCATCCTGTAGTAAAGTGACCAAGGCCAGGGTACGGGGGTACCCGGACAAGGACTTCAACAACCTGCATTTGCCGCCATCGATGGAAACTTTGTAAGTTGAATGGTTCAGTTTGCTCTTTGGAAACGAGTAGGGACTTTTCCGACAACCAACTCGAGGTGTTCAACCCGTCCGAGTGGGCCGAGCTGCCTTTGACGGAACTCTACGTATGACGTGATCACTCTGGTCAATAACGTCACAGGGGTAGGGTCCTGCAGAACAACGCCTCGAACAACTGAATAACGTCACCTTTTCTCCGACGTTGCACACCATGTACGATCACGGCATTGCTGTCCCCCATGTCAAGAATAAGCAATCCCTTGCAGTATCCTCGCGGACAACTGGCTGAAGCGATTTACGAACGGCACGCAGTTCCCTGCCGCCCTCAAAACGCTGTGTGCGATACAGTTCGTTTTGGGCTCTCGTTCGTGGCCCTAACTGGGGTTTGGACTACTTTATGTGTCTGTTTTTTGTTGCCAGCGATTTAAGCATGAACAAAATCAGGCCGTTTGTGTCGTTGCCGTTGACATCTGCGATATCGCTAGACGTTATCTACATCCCCCCCCGGCATTCGTTGTTGGCAACTTGATGGAAAACACCTCAACTCCAACAACCTCGGAGCCATGGACCTCACGATCGAGTGGCCTCCCAACTTGGACACGTTAGACCTGAGCATGAACTAGCTCACGACACTGGAGGACCTGCCGCCGCTTCCGTTCAGGCTCAAGAAGCTCTTCCTCATCGGCGACACCCTCATGCGCTACGTCGTCTCCTCCGACACGTACAACCGCCTCAACGACGTCAACGCGGTCACGGTGCCCGCCATGATCGCGCCGTGCCCCGACGGGTCCCTGAAGTCCCCCACACAACCTAAAGCCAACGATGTGTTTGTGTGCGTCGCGGCCTCGTCATCCGGGTCGTCGTCGACGCTGCCGCTGGTCCTGGGGCTCGTGGGGGGTACTGTGTGCATCGCCGCGAGTGCCATGTACGCTTACAGCCGCCACATGGACAACAAGGGCAATCATCGCGGGTTCAGATCCATCTCTCCACCCCCGCTCATTGAGTTTACGTTGGACGGCATGACTACTCATACAAGTAGCAGCAGCAATGAGCCCAAGCGACGCCAGTATCCTCCTGCTGCTGAAAACGGCCATCACCAACAACCTAGGGTGAGCCACGCCAAATTGTCCAGCGACAGACGCCTCCCATCGTCCAGCGTGGGACTGCCCGAGTTTCCAAGGCTGCTCCAGCAGCATCCGTCCTTGCAACCGTATGCGATTGCGTGCGACTCGGTGGATGATCTATGTTCGTTCGTCGGGTACGTCTTCTTCGTGAATAGTCTACTATGGCATGCTTTTTTTGCATCAAAGCACCTGTTGATGGTGAGATGGGCTGGGCTAACATAGTAAATGGCTAGCTGTAGGGACACGTCGATCGGGGCGTTGGGCAGTCAACGGGTGGTGGTGAAACCTCTCTTTAGTGACCACCAAGTGGACGTTTTCACCATGTACACCACCGTCGCGCACCCAAAGATTGTGTCGTTGATGGGGGAGACGTGGGATATCAGCGGGTCTTTGAGCATCGTCATGCCGTTCTACGGCCGCGGCTGCCTCCGGTCCATGCTTTTCGCCGACGCCGTACCCCTGGGCCCCCTCTCTGGGAGCCCCGTCAAGCTTGGTCTGGCCATCGACGCGGCCGAAGTCCTCATGTTCCACCACTTTCTCCGCCATCCGTTCGTGCACTTGAATGTTTCGGCCAGCGCCGTCTATGTCAACGACCACTGGACCGCAGCATTGCGGCTCCCCGGGGTCGACCGAGGACATGTGGGGGTGCGGAAGCCGTGGGTCATCCCAGAAATCCTTCGGGCGTCGTCCCCGCATACCCCGAAAGCTGACTTGGAGTGCTCTTGTCGGTGCTGGACAGGGGGTTTGTCCCCAGTGAAAAGATACTGAAGGTGACAACGACGTCGTTGTTTTGTCCGATGACAAGCTCACGGCATTCGGCATGCAATGCCTCGACCTTGACCCGACCAAACGGCCGAGTGCCATGGACGCAGTGTACGAATTGCGCAACTTGCTACATGTATGTAGCACGATACAGTAGTTAGTGGTCTTGGAGAAGTGATGGATGTACAGTACTGTAGAGAACTGTCGGTAAATGTAACGAGCTTACTGCTCGTAGTAGTAATACAATGTATTACCGACGGGGTAGAACCTCGTTACTTCGCTATCGGCTATGGGTGCCGGTACAGTTGGGTTCTCGCATGTGGTGACGCCACGTCATATTTGTTGAAGTTTGAAGCGTCGTGTGCGTGTCTTTGCGTCAAAGTCCGGATAAGACATCGCATCAAAGGAAGGTCAATGCGTATTATCCTAATTTTGTGGAAAGTTATTTTAGGCACTAATGATGAACCTCAGTGAGGGAGGAGCCAAGACTCGATGCTATGAGACAACTGTGATGAAAGCGCCTTTACGATACGTTTGACGTACCCGTGAGGGGATGTGACAAGCATCAAGCTGCGGTTGAGCATTGTAACATTGGAGCATTAGTGGAGCGACCAACGTTGATCGGAGAACGGGCAACGTTAGGAAAGATTGAATTTTGACCAATCAGTGTACATTCTTTCTTGCCCCCTTCGCATCTCCCAAATCCGCATATAGTATTTTGTATGTGGGGAGGATTGTGGTAGAATCTTTGCGTAGAAATGGCCCCAAACTCCACGTTGCACAACCGTCACTTTTAGTTTTGTTTCCTTTCCAGTCAATTCCTAAACATGGTAAGAAATCGGTGGACGATGGAGCAGGAATGTGGGGATGGAAGTGAACGGTGAATGGTTGTAGAGCTCTGGTGTGGGTGTCAGTGACGAAGCCACGAACACGTTCAACGGCTTCAAGCTCCAAGCGCCTGATCATAAGTTCCGCTATGTCACCTTCAAGATTGAAGGCAATCAATTCGTCGTGGACAAGACCGGCCCCCGCGAACACACCTACGAAGACTTTGCCAAGGCCTTGGCGGGCGATTTGACCGTGCCCAACCCTGTATATGAATGCCGACATGGCGTGATTGACCTCGACTGCACGAGCAAAGACGGCCGCCCCGTCGCCAAGTTGGTGTTTCTCTCCTGGTACGGTCTCGTCGATGTCGTTTTTTCTGTGAAAGACATGTCTGACTTGGTGCTCTCGATAGGTCGCCTGAAAACGCGTCTATTAAGGCCAAGATGGTGTACTCGTCGTCGAAGGAAGCCTTGAAGAGCGTGTGTGTGGGCGTCGGAATCTTCATCAACGCCACGGATGCCTCGGAATTGGAATTTGCCACCGTTGCCGACGGCGTGTCCAAGTTCCTTTAAATGTCCGACTAGATTTGGCATGCTGCTAGGTAGTTGTGTTGAACAGCATGCCCGGCAGGATGCCTGGCGTGGTTTTTAACTACCCCTTCATACACATCCTTCCTTCTATACTATTTGTTGTCCTGTGCAAGCTCCCAATGTTCGCCGGCTCTTCCTCGACCCCTTCGAACTATGATTGCCCATGCATTTCCAATGCCTTCCCTCGTTCATTTCTCGATCTACTTGCAGGTGTCTACATGGATATGCATGGATCGCAGAAGTTGCTGACTCAAGTGACGTCGCAATAAATGATATTAGTTTTAAATACCTCGTGGCTTTAACGAGTCGTTGCGGCTACATAAATCAAGATATTGTTCAAACTATAATAAATTTTAGCTTTTTAAATACTTTTCGGCGTGTAATTCTCGATTTATACGTCGGTTTTATCCAATTACAATCAATCCCCTTTAAACTTGCTTTCTCGAGTCATTGATCGAGTGAGATGGGTGTTGGAAATGTCACGGTCACGATGGCGCCACCCGCCGACATTGGACTCTTTGGGGCGTGGTCCCCGTACATCTTGTGGGTCGAAGTAGGCTTTGCGGTGTTCCTCGTGCTCCTCCTCCATGCGATATACACCCAACCGGCGTGGCTCACCCAAGTCCTTCGCACACGGTTCCCATGTGCGATTTGGTGCGCGAACACCCGGCTTCCTGTCGCTGCGCTGACCATCGATGACGCTCCCAGCAACTCGACTGAGGCTATTCTCGACGTTCTCAAGGCGCACAACGTGAAGGCAACGTTCTTCATCATCCACGGCAACGTTGCCGGTCGCGAACACGTCCTGAAGCGCATCGTCGCGGAAGGTCATGTGTTGGGCAATCACTTTGTGCGCGACGAAGCAAGCATCAAAGACCCGCTCCATGTGTTCGAGGCCAAGCTCCTTCAGTGCAACGACACGCTATTGACGTACCAAAGGTAACACCCCCCTCTGATTTCACCAAGTCACCGTGTGTGGGACGCAACTCTAGCCGCATCCGATACGCCCGTCCTGGCTCTGGGTGGTTCAACAAGGGCATGGAAGGCGTGGCGGAGAAGCACGGGTACCGCTTCGTCATGGGCAGCGTCTATCCCCACGACGCTCAGATCAAGATTGCCAAAGTGAACGAGTGGTATTTGCGTGCTTTGACTCGGTGCGGCAGTCTCTTGATCGTCCACGATCGGCCGTGGTCCGTCGCCGTGTTGCGCGGGGCCCTGGAGCACTTGACCAAAAAGTTCAAGTTCGTGTCCCTAGAGGAACTCGAAGAGATCGATGCTGCGGACGACCAGAACGCCGTCGCGCTGGCCAAGAAGGTCGACGGCGACCTCCCCCAAGCTGAGGCGGAGCGTCAAACACTCCTTGAAAAGTAAATGGTTGCCACCTCCACACATTTTATACTTGCTTTCTTGCTTAGTGTGTTGTTCGTGTGGCGCCATGTAGAGCAGATGGACGTTGCATGTAGAGGAGTGTAGCGCGCATGTAAGCGCTTATCATGGGAGAGATTATCCGCCGACCTCGGATGGCGACGAATCTCTTAGCTTCAAAACCATGAGGTCGGTTGAAATACCCTTATAATCGGATACCTTGACAAATCGATGTATCGATATATAAAGGGACTGTTAAAATGTTGTGTGAGCAGTTTTACGTCCTTCTGCGGCAACATGCAGATCCAGACGTTGGCGTATGCGATCTCGGCGACGTTTACGTTCTTCACAGTGCTCATCAGCGGATGGGAGATGTGGACGCACCTGACGCAGAACCCGAGCCCGTCAAACCGCAAGTACATCTTGCGGATCTTGCTCATGGTGCCGATCTACGCTACGACGTCGTACTGGGCGCTCGTGTTCCATCCGCACAAGTTGATCTTTGAGACCATCCGCGATTGCTACGAAGCGTTTGCGTTGCACTCGTTCTACTACTTCTTACTCGGGTACCTTGGCGGTCCGTCCGTGCTGGCCAACACCCTTCGCAGCAAGAAAACCGTCAAGCACATGTTTGGCATGCAATACGTCATTCGCCCGTGGACCATGGGCAACAAGTTTGTTCGCATGAGCACCATCGGCATTCTGCAGTACATCCCCGTCAAGATTGCGTGTTCCATCGTGACCTTTATCACGTCGTTGCTGCACGTGTATGGCGAAGGCCAACTGCGAAATCCGCTGGTCGCGTACGGGTACATTTGCTTGATTCTGACCGTGTCGCAGTCGTGGGCGCTGTACTGCCTCGTGCTGTTCTACCACGCCACGGAGAACGAATTGGCGCCCATGAAGCCATTTCCCAAGTTCATGGCTATCAAGATGATCATCTTCTTTACGTTCTGGCAGAGCATGTTGATTTCACTGCTGGAAATGCTGGGGGTGATCTCCGCGTCGTGGGACATTGGGTGTCCGTCGGATTGCTGGAGCGCAGGGCAGATTGCGTCGGCCCTCGAGGACTTTATCACGTGCGTGGAGATGCTCATCTTCGCCGTGGTCCATCATTATGCTTTCTCAATCGACGACTTCCTTACCAACGTCGGGTCGCCGGGGTCGCCGTCGCAAACGCCGAAAGCGCCGCTTCTCGCCAACTTTATGGACGTGATCAACGTTGCCGACGTGAAGGATGATATTTCCAACTCGAGGAAAGAGATCCTCACCAAGAAACAACAACTCGCTGCGCAGTACGACCTGCACATTGTCAAGTCGTCGGCCGCGGCGCAACGACAGTGAGACCACGCCACTGTCGCACCCTTAGTAAATAATAACTAGTACTCATGCTTGTACTAGTGCAATAGTATGCATCGTCCATCGTCAGTCCAAGTATTATTTAGTTCTACAGTCTAAACCTAGACTTGAACGTTTCGAGCAGTTTCAAATCTCACAAGCAAACTCCAAAATGGTCTACGGGTTTATGTGTCCTGCGCCATGGCTAAAAACTGCATGTTTACTGTACTTGAAAGCCCTCTTGAACATGTCGTCGGTCGGTATAGTACTTGCCAATCTCATACAGTTGCAATTGCATCGTCAAGTACCTAACGCTATTGTAACAATGTTATAGCTTTGATGATACTTACAGTTAGTACAAAATTGCCCATTCCTTACTGCCCACGCAGCAGTTCCGCTTCCACGCTCCGCTTATTCCGACCTCATGGGGTCTTCTGAAGAAAGTCCCGCAGTCCATGATGATGGTTCAGCTCAGAACCAATACCCTTCAACATCGCAGTGAGCGACAAAAATACTCCCCACTAATATGCCTCCAAACCGACGCATTGAAACGCAGTCATGCAATGACGCCTGCTTCGTCACAAACATGCACGTCGCCAACATGTATGAATGCGAGCCCCACTAGGTACTTGCCCGGTTGCTACCATGTCGTGCTACGGAGTACTGGCGGCAGTGTTGGCCTACAGCATTTGGGGACTCTCGGCGCTCTACTGGAGCCTCCTCGCCCATGTCAAGCCGGAGCAACTTGTCTCGCACCGCATCGTGTGGTGCTTTGTGATTGTGTTGAGCATTGTGGCGGCCACGCAATGGAAATCGTTTCGGAGCTATGCCTTGTTGTGGCCCAACATCCGGCTGCATGCCGTGGCCGCGACGCTCCTGGCGACCAACTGGTGGCTCTTCGTCTGGTCTGTCCACGCCGGGTACGTCGTGCAAGCGTGCTTGGGGGGATATATCCTCCCCCTTGTGACGGTGCTCCTGGGGGTCGTGGTCATGGGCGAGCGCCTGCGCATGTGGCAAATCGTGGCAATCTGCCTTGCAGGTATCGGCGTTCTGGTCATTTCGATCGGATTTGGCGTCATTCCGTGGCTGTCGTTTGCGTTGGCCCTCACAGACGGCGCGTACGGCCTGATCAAGAAGAAATCCACGGTCGCCAGCATCGAAGGCGTGGTTATTGAGACAGGCACCCTCGTTCTGCCTGCGGTCGGCTACCTCGTGTTTGCCGAAGTGCAGGGGGTTGGGGCGTACGGACATGGCACTGTGTTTACGAACGTGCTGTTGATGGGCGGAGGAGTCTTGGCTACGACGTCGCTCATTTCGTTTGCGTATGCTGTGCACCACATGCCCCTGACGCTAGTAGGGGTGCTGCGATACATCACCCCCACGATCCAAGTATTTTTGGCCGTGTATGTCTATCGCGAGCCGTTCACGCCCGTCAACATCGTCGGGTTCGTCCTCTTGTGGGCCGCCTTGATCCTCTTTACAAGTCAAAGCTACTTCAAGCATCAAGAACAGCTGAAAGAAGAAGCGCATTCGTCGCTCTTGGCAATCGCGTCCCTGGAGGAGGCGGTGGTACATAAAGCCACATGACTATATTACGAACGTGAACCCCTTGAATTCGCCACGTAATAATGTCAATTTTTACTCTTAATCTGACAAGTCCTAAAAAGATCTCTTCATATGTTATAATTCAATATTGTTTATGTTATGATTACTGTAACGTTACAGTACTGTATATCTGTGTTCCAAAACCCTGCTCTTTGAATAAATGACAAAACGGGGTAAAACCGACGCATTTCACAACAAAACAAAGGTGATTTCTCTGACCACAAGCCGATTTTTGTCAAATTCACTTGAATTGTGTATTGTGATAACCCCCAAATGTCAATTCCAGTGACTGCTGAGTCACTTTCTTTCACTGCAGTAAGGAAGTCAGACGGTCATCGGTCGAAATCATGGAACTCCTGACGCTGACCTTTGCCATCTCGGCAGCGATGACGCTGCTGACGGTCCTCCTCAGTGGGTGGGACGTATGGACACACTTGCTGTACAACCCTCAGGCCGGCATCCGCAAGTACGTGATTCGCATGTTGCTCATGGTGCCGCTGTACGCCGTCACGTCGTACCTGGCGCTCACGATCCCCGAGCAAAAGCTGTACTTTGAAACGATCCGCGATTTCTACGAAGGGTTTGCGTTGCACTCGTTCTACTACTTCATGATCGACTTTCTCGGCGGCCAAGAAGTGTTGGCGCAGAAGTTGCGCAGTAAGAAGCACGAAGCGCACCACATGATGGGGTTCCAGTGGTGCATGGAAACGTGGAAGATGGGACCAGTGTTTGTCCGCAACAACTCGATCGGGATCCTCCAGTATATCCCGTGCAAGATCTTCATCACGGTCATGACGTTCGTCAGCTCCATCTTTGGGTTCTACGGCGAAGGCATCTACACTGACCCGACCAAGATGTACCCGTGGCTGACACTGCTTCTCACAGTGTCCCAGACATGGGCATTGTACTGCCTCGTGTTGTTCTACCACGGATGCTCGGACGAGCTACGTCCCATGCGTCCTTTGCCCAAGTTTCTCGCGGTCAAGATGATCATTTTCTTTACGTTTTGGCAGAGTCTGGTCATCGGGTGGCTCGCGCGTTTCGGTGTGATCAGCGAGAACTGGCATATTCGATGCACGGACGTGCATTGCACAGACGCGTCGAACCCCGCCTCATGCGCGTACCACGGGTGCTGGGAAGCGGAGGAGCTGTCGCCAGCGGTCAACGACTTTACCATCTGCCTCGAGATGCTCGCGTTTTCGGTCGTGCATCACTACGCGTTCAAGATTGACGACTTTTTGCGCATGGAGCGCGAAAAGAACACGGACGTGACCAACCAAGTGAAGGGGCCCCTCATGAACAACTTCATCGACGTGTTGGCGTTTACAGATATCCACCAAGACATCAAGTTCAGCGAGCAAGAGTTACTCACCGAGAAGCAACGCCTCGCGCAGCGATTTGACGACGACGTCGTGCTCAAGAAGAAGGAAGCGGCGGAGCGGAAGCGGCTGTTGGCCAAGGGACCGACGGCTACGAGCTCTGGGTGGAGTTTTTTCAACCGGTCGACGCCAGCAACTACCGCAGCAACGTCGCACACGGCGGTCGAGCTGAGCGTTGGACGAAGCGGCGCGCCGTCGTTGCAACCGCTCCAAGGCGGCGGCGGCGGCCCCAACCACACTGGTGGAGGGGGAGGGGGGGGGAATCATACTGTCAACCAACGCCGAAACAATGCCACGATCAACAACTACTCCAACCAACCGACTAAAGTGGACTTGTCGCTGCAGTACGAAGCCGCGGTGCTCTTGCAGCGACAGAATTCTGACTAAGTCGACGAGATCTGTAGCTAAACAAATAGGACTACTTGTATGTTTTAAAAGGGAGAGGGGGATGTGTGTGTGTGTGTGGTCCCGTGTTGGATGAGATCTAAATATGGCGTCGCACACAACAACTACGCAGGTCGATCGATCTGTCCTTGTGACGTTAGGGCTGGGGGCGCACTCCGCCGCCTGCCGCCGACTCGGCCGCCCGTCGGAACCGCATGACCACTGGCCGTGTCACGACTGTGAGCGCTGTGATGCAATTGTCAAACTTGAGTCCGCGAAGATCGAGCGTCCCCAGCTGGACGAGCACATCGCCCACATGCACATGCTTGAGGTGGTCGCTTCCGTCGAATGCGACAGGGTCCAGCCGGGACACGAGGGGGGCGTTGGTAACCGGATGGGGGGCAAAGAGGAGGCCGAGCCGCGTCATGTCGGGCCACTCGAGGTCATAGTACGCGTGGGGGTCGAGGGTCGGCAGCACGGGGGCGTCTCGGCGGTGGCTGCTCGTGGGGAAGACGGGGCGGGCGGGACGGAGGAAGCGCAGCACCGTCGGCTTGGGCATCGTGCTCAGCTGCGATAACGTATCCTTGAACTTTTGCTGCGGCGGCAACGGAATCCCATTCGCCCCTATAGGACATGAATTACACAAGTCAACAGTTGTGTATATGACAAAAGTTTAGTGGACGCACGGACGTACCCAAGAGCACGTCGCCGAGAGCCACCCGTTTGGCGTTGTCGTTCGTGCCAGATACCCGCGCGACCACGGCGCGTCGAGACTCTGGATGGGGTTTCAATGTCACCCCGAGCTCTTCCCCCGCCCGCCACGTGATTTCGTATTCAAACGGAACGTTGTTCTTTGTCGCAGACGATGACGACGCTGCTTTGACGCTGTCGTCGTGCGATTGAGGCAGATGGTGGTGATGCTTGCCGTGATGTTGTTTGCTGTGATGCGGCTGGCTTCGTTGGTGGGATTGGTGGTCGACAGGCGGGACATCTGGGCAGCCGCCACCTTCCACCGACAGAGGCGACTGTACCGACAAGGCATGCTGATGTCGAGAGTGGCCGTCGACGGCGGACGAAGCGGCAGATGACTGTGCACGCGCGCTAGTTTTCTGAGGGGACGACGACGCTGCAGACGGGTCGGTGGCAGATGGACTGGGATGGGTGAGGTGCCGCGAACCACCACCACCGCCAGACGGAGCCATCGTCGAAGGACGTGCTGGTTGTTGCGACGATGCTTGCAAAGCCGACGGCCCAGCTTTGTCTTTGGATGACGACCAGAAGCTTCGCGAGGGATGCGATTTCTCGACTACTTGCGCCGGCGACGATGGAGCCGCAGAGATCGATGGCGGCCCCGCCCCCACCAAACTACTCCTCAAGTCCCCCACACCCCCTCCACCGCTTCGATCTTTCTTTTTCCGCCTCGACGTCGAGTCGGGGGTTGCCGTGTCGGGGTCCGGATTGACGGGATTGTGGTAGTTCTTCTTTCCAAAGGGAAGCACAGCGTCTTTCAGAGCCGCATGCAGTTTGGCCGTGAGCGGGATGGAGGTTGTCGATGTCGGGAGGTCCATTTTCTTGAGGTCTTTCCGCTTGGGGGAGGTTGAGAGGGGTTCAAGGGGAGGCGGCGGCAGCGACGGTGGTGGCGGCGGCACGGACAGACGGCCTGCGGATAATAGTCTGATCGCAGCATGTTCGCATCGAAAACGAAGATGCAGCGGCCGCTTGGCCTGCCGCAACGTCTTGAGCGCGTCGTGGAACGGCATGTTCTCGACACACTCGTCGTTGACCCACGTGAGCGCGTCGCCCACCTTGATCGACCCCCCAAAGCCCCCGCCCAAGTGCATGCCATTGGTCGGACTGCCGCCGCCATTCACGTCGCGCTTCAGTTTGGTCGTCTTGGCTGCCCCCACGTCGGCCACGACTGTCCCGTACGCCATGGGTTTGAGTGTAAACCCCAGCGGTTGCTTCTTTTCCCAGACTTGTTCGTACTCGTCGTGGTCGTCAAGCTCGGGTCGGATCGACTCTTGGCGCAAGTCGGGGGCAAAGAACAGTGTCGCAGGCTTGACCACATCGTGCAGTTGCTTTATCGCAGCGTTGAACGTGCCACTGGCCGTGTCGTAGGCTCCGATCGAGACCAGGTAGTGGCCTGGTACGATGTCCTTTACCTGTGCGGATCGGTTCTTGCCCGTGATGCGCGTCACCTGGGGGTACGGCACTTCCTTGTTGGCCACCAAACTCACGCCCAGGGGACCGTCTTCCCAGTACACGGCGTACTTTTTGTCCAAGTCGACGGCCGGCGCCTGCGCTTCCTTGGCCAGCTCCTCCGCCGCCAGCTCCTCGATCTTGGCGGCGATGCGCTGGGCGATGCTCGATTTCCACGCAAAGTTCTTGGACGCCCCCGGTCCCCCCATCATGACGTCCATCGGCGGCGTGGCGGCATCGGACGCGCGGCGAAACGCCAACGGGCAAGGCCGCGATACTTGCTTGAGCAGGTTGATCACGTCCTTGAAAGGCATGCGGTGGGTCTCCGTGTCGCCAATCTTGACGAGGTAGTCGCCGACTTCAACCAAGTGGATGCCAAGCATCGAGCTCTTGCCCGTGATTTTGGTCACGGACGGCAGGAACAGCGGCGTCATCATGAGGCGAAGGCCCAGGAGCCCGTCTTCCCAAATCAGCTTGTACATGGCGCCCGTGGCTTGCTGGAGGGACGCCGTAGAGTGATCGAGGGACAGGCGGCGCAACGACGTCGACGACAACGTCACAGCCTCCACGGCCTCGGCGTCGTAAATGTCTTCGTCGTCCGGGGACAGATTGATGTTGGTCGGATGGAGGAGATGATGGGACACGACAGCAGGGGATGGAGAGGACTCGGAGAGTTGCGTCTCGTCCTCGGTCGTGGCCGTAAGTAGTTGCGTCACGTCGCTATTTCGGTCGCCAAACTCAAAGTTGAGGTCGCTCATCACAGATTCAAATGCACGCGCGTCAAACGAATCCCGGGCTTCGTCAAAGAACTCCCCCGACGTCGATTCGCTGGCGCCTTCGACATCACTGCCCATGATGTCGCTGTCGCTGTCGTTGAGGCTGTCGCCGCCATCACTGCTGAGAATGGATTGCCTACCTTTGTGGGATAGAACGTCGTCGTCGAGACCATCGTCTAGACCATCGTCGTCCAAGTCGTCCAGGTCCTCGTCTGGGATCAAGATTGTGTTGCGCTCGATTTCATTGTCGTCGTACTCGAGGTCGTCACTCAGGCGCTCGTTGTCATCGTCCAGCGCGGAGGCGACTTCGAATTCCAGCGAAAAGTTGCCCAGGTCCGGCGGCAGGCCTCCTCCACTTCGAGTGTTCGCGATGGCCGTCTGCATGGGGGCCAGAAAAGCTTCGATGTCCATGCCTTCACTCGTTGCGAGGACGCGTCTCTTCTCCGGTCCATGCGCGGACGAAGCGTACTTCTCCGCACCGGACATGGGGAAGGAAAGGGCAGGCGAGCCTTTTTTACCAGGGCCGTCTTGTATTATCCTGGTGTGTAATTGGTACCCAAGCACGTGATTGGCTAAAACTAAATAATTTCAAACCTCTAAGTTCAAATTCTGTCCTAAAACCTGCCACATTCAATAGTTGAAGTTCGATGACGTGGCAGCCTCACAATGCAATATTCAAGAGCCAACCGTTGAGAACCCCTAACCATCAATGAATTGTCGTTGCTGTGAATTTATAATATTAACAACGCAGAACCACCCGTACGTTGTATTAATACTTCGAAGTATTACTAGTAGTACTACTAGTACTTATTAATACTACGTAGTATTAATAGTATTAATAGTAACATAGTAACTTCTACGTAGTATTATTAATAGTAACTCGTGTACGTATACATTACTGTACACCTGCTCTCACGTAACATATCAGAATGAAACACACACTTCATGACGTACAACGTGTTACAGAGTCAGCTCGCTACGCGAAATCGATTTGCAACAGTTTCTAATTCGTATGGAGGCCAAAATGACTAGGGGTTTCGTCGCACCTTGAACGTTTTCTACATGTGCGTGGGGGTGCGCGACCTTTCGCAGCGTAGCGGAGGTATGCTTGCTTCTGATATTCGTGAGGGGTTTGGCGCATTACCCGGGGTTGGCGATAGCAAACCACTGGCGATGCGCCAAACCCCTGAAAATGAAGACTGCACTTCGACCTAACTTATGTACTGTAGGTTCCTGAGCGCCGGGGTTCCGAGGTGTCAGGCTCTTCGTGGGGCACGTCGTTGTGTATACATTGCATTTGTTTCAAGGTAAGTAAGTGATATTTCATGCGCAAAGCGCCAATCCTAATTCCTGCCAGCACACTAGCGCAGCGGCGTGTTTATAATGTCACTGTGAATTCGACTCAAAATAGAAACACTTCCTTGTGAAAGTCGAACCGGCACTTGTGACTATACCATTGGGCTTCTTGCACTAACCCCGGCGGTCCACACGCCATGACAGCAACTTTGTCGTGCAGGGCATATCGCTCCACATTCAGAACTTCGTCCAACACGAGCTTCCCACCGTGGTAGGCAACGTAGTCGCCCGTGTGGCACTGTACCGCGCCGTTCGTCTCCGCCGTAGTCACATAAAACGTGGCTTTGACATTTGGGGGTAGCGGAAACATGACTTCGCTCGCCACGAGCAGGTCGTCGGGGGTTCGAACCGTCCAATGTAAGTGCAATGCGAGTCCTCTGTTTGAATCATGTTTGTGAACGTGGCATCGATTCACAAAGCTGAGCAGGGGCGTGATGCCGACGCCGCCGGCAATCAGCACCACAGAGTCGTACGTTTGCTTGTCAAAGTTGATTACGGGGTGGCCATACGGTCCGTCCAGCACGACATCTACGGTGCCCGCCCGACTTTCGGCCACAAGTTGCACCAACTTGTCACCAAAGGACCTGCTGGGACTGTCGCTTGTCGACTTTGCACCAGACGATGCCTTGATGCAGAACGCCATGGACTCGCCATCGGGCGTGACAATGGCAGAGTACGGATGCCATTCCAATGTCGACACGGACGGGACGTTGACCCAAAAGAACGCGCACGGGTTCGCTTCCATCACCCACTTGGCCGTCTCACACGTTCGCGGTAGGATTACAAGGGCCGAGTTGGCGCCGTGAGTCGTGGCGATGGCAGTGATCTTGTTCCAGTAAGCCCCGAGACGGAAAAGAGCGGTTACGGCGTACACGGTCGCGGGGAAGATCATGGCGTAGAGGCACGAGGGACTGTGCAGCATCACAAACACCAGCCCGACGACGGCCGCGACGCGGTGGTAGTAGTAAAACAGTTCGTAGCATGCCCGCCGCACGAAACTATGGGCCAAGAGCGACAGGCTGGCAAACGCGACGAACGCGACGAAACCAAACAGCGGCACCGCGTCTTGGCTGCCGTACTCGTCCGTCACCAGCACGTCGACCTCTTGCACGAGCCACAGCACGAGAAAGTGGACAGTCGACGCGACCACACACAACCGGCCGAGCCACCGGTGAAACTTGACGATGCGTTCGTGAGACGTGCCAAAGATGCGCTCCCAGTGCTGGCCGCGGGCCACGGGTAGCATGAGAAACATCAAACTCACCAAAGCCACATGTCCTGCAACAAGCGACGCCAGGCGGGCGAGGGGCGCGGACGGGAACGCGGAGGTCACCGTGGCGCCGACGGCGACCAACCCTCCAACGTACACCCCCACCACGACGGCTTCTCCGAGTTTGATATCCTGCATCCACGACAAAAAGAACGTCGGGTGCTGCTTGGCGGGGGCGCATATGGCGCGAAGGGTCACGACCGTCGTCCACTTGCCCGATGAGTTCGTGACAACGAGGCCGAGGAGTATCATTGTGGTCAATATGATTGCACTGATGAGCGCTGTGGAGTACTTCATACTAGATGACGGATCGGACAAGGACAAGGCAGTCGTGCCCTTAGTATCTTGGCCCGTGGTGGATGCAAAGAGAACTTTGACCGACCCGTCCTTGGTGTGCACCGCCGGCCACGCTCTGTCTGCGTACGCCCACTGCACCGTAGACGCCACGGTCGGGTTGATAGCAACGTCGTAGACGGATCCAGACGCCAACGTGCGCTCAAACGTGAACGAGATGAGCCCGTTGACCATGCTGCTTTGCGACACGTTCATGCTGGCCTGACTCGACTGCAGAGGCACCGTATTCGACGTGTACCCCTTCATCACGTACAGCTTGGTCGTGGCACCCGCCGTCTCAAATACCACTGCGTTGTTGGCAGGGCTGGTGACCATCTTGGTGGATTTCGTGATCGCGACAGACACCCACTTGGCCGTGGCCCGTTGAAAATACACTTGAATGCACACGTTGGCACCTTTCACGAGGCTTCGCATGGTCATGGGTCCGACAGCCACCGTCGACTGCAGAGGAAAGAGTGGGTCAGCACACGCTGATCCGTTGGAAGATGTTGAAGGCACAGTTGTTGTATTCGTTGCCGCCAGTCCATGCGGAAGCAACGAATAGGCAGTGACGAACAACCAAGCTAGCAGTCTTGATCTCATACGTTCTGTGGACGTGCAAAGTGCAAATGAAGCTACAGTAATGCAGGATACCTATGTGTGCCTCACGAGGGGCAGTTTGAACAAAGCGAACTCGAGGCCAACTTACTGGCCACCTCGTGCGACTGAGAAAATCGTTTCCGTCGCAACGCCTTCCACGTATTTTCAGTAAGTACAGTACTACAGCTGTATTCGAATACGATCTAGAACAACAGGTGCAATATATCGCACCAATCATAGTCGGTTTTGGGGCACAATTCGTTGCTCAGCGATAGCCAATGATACAAATGTAGAACATACCATCGTGTCCACATCTTTGGTTCAAATGAAGGCAGACATTTCTGGTGTTAGATAAACGTTCAGTACATCATGCCAGCTAGAACGCAAATCCTTCCTTGTGAAAGGCAAACCCACAAGCATGGCTGAACCACTGGGCTTCTTGCACCAACGACGGTGGGCCACACGCGAGTACCCCCACAGACGTCGCGTTGACACTGAGGTACCTCGTGTTGTTGATGATATCGCCCATCACTGGCTTGCCATGCACATACGTGACGGAGTCGCTGGAGCGGCGACAGCGCACCGTGCCGTCCTCCCTCGCTTGACTGACATAAAACGTCGCCCGCACATTCGCCGGGAGTGGAAACATCAAGCCTTCTGCCACGAGCAAGTCCTGGGCCGACCGTACGACCCAAAACAAGTGCAGTGTACGAGTCCCCGTCGTCGTTTGACTGAACCTGTTGATCACACTGAGGATGGGCGTGATCCCAACCCCCCCAGCCACCATCACCAGCACGTCGAACGTTTCCAGTTCTATGGACGGCTTCCCGTACGGACCCCCCACGAGGACGCTCAACGTTTGGACGGTGGCGGCATGCAGGACCACGCGGTCCACAAAACCCCCCGCCCCCATCGACTTCATGCAAAACGAAATCGACTTGCCGTCGCGCGTGATGATTGCCGTGAACGGGTGCCACTGTAGAAGCGAAATGGCCGGCATGTTGACCCAGAAAAACGCACATGGATGGACTTCTGTCGCCCACTTGGTCGTTTGCGCGGTCGCGGGCAGCGTCACCACCACTGATGTCGAGCCATCCACGGCGATGGCGGCGTCATGGTGGTTCCAATACGCACTGACGCGGCCAAGAGCGGATACGCCATACACGATCAGCGGAAAGAGCATAGTGAACTGGACCGTGGAGCTGTGCAGCATCACAAAACACAGCCCGACGACTGATGCCACCCGGTGGTAGTAATAAAAAACCTCATACATGGCGCGGCGAATGGGCTCGAATGCCAGCAGCGCCATGGACGCAAACGCAACGTACGCCAGCAACCCAAACAGTGGCACCGCCTCCTGGGACCCGTACGGCTCGACCGTCGCGACCGTGACGCGATTGGCAACATTTAGCACCAAGTGCGCTGTACTTGTCACGACACAAAAGAGCCCAAGCCACCGGTGGAACTTGAGTAGCCGCTCGTGGGACGTGCCAAACACTAGCTCCCAGTGCTGGCCTCGGGCGACGGGAAGGAGGAGAAACGCCAGCGATTGCAAAGCCAAGTGGCCCAATGCTAAACTCCACCGATGCAACTCAGAGTGATCGATGAATGTCGTGTACACGTTCGAACAAACGACAACGCCGCCTCCAACGTACACGAGCACGACGACGGCTTCCCCCACTTTGAGCGGGTTTGCCCTAAAGGGCGATGCGCGCTTCGATGGGGCAATTACAGCCGCCTGGGACCACCGACGCCACGTAGTCTCGTACGTGGACAGGAGGCCCAACCCCATCATGACCGCGAACGCAACGACAATGATCGCAGGGGTTATCGGTGTGTACGCGACTGACTTGACGACAATCGTGGACGACGCCAACGTAACTTGAACGTCGCCGCATTCGACGTGTTTGGCAGGCCATGTGTGCGTACCGTACCCCCAAAGGACGTTGGTCATGGCAGCGGGGTCCAGGGCAACGTCGAAGGGGGTCGAGCTCGCCAATGGCCTTTCAAACGTGAATGATATCGCACCGCCGGACGTAACACTGCCTTGGGTTTGAAGGATGCTGGGTACACCCGGCTGCACCGGCACACTTTCGTAGCTTTGCATGAGGTGCAAACTCGTGATCGCCGTGGCCGCATTCAGCACGACGACGTTCGTGACCGGATTGTTGACCATGTAGGCGGTTTTGGCAAAGCCCACCGCCACCCAGCGCACCGTGGCGGCGGCGTTCGGAAACGTTACTTGCGCACACATGGTGGGTCCTTTGACGAACGTGCGCATGGACATGGGGCCGAGGACGAACGCGGGCTGGAGGGCAAAGAACAGATCGTCCGCGCAACCAGATGAAGACGACGAATTGGTAGTCGTGGTGGTGTTCCCAACGCCGGCGACGACCACTGCAGCCATGGCCACCGCCATGAAAACGAACATCCTTGTTGTTATTGTTGGTGGCGGCGTCGTTGTCGTCGAGAGGGGTTCAAATAAGGGGGAAAGGCGCAAGGATGGTGACACGCCTCCCGGCTTGGTTGATCTATTATCTCGATCACGGGAGGTTTCGTCGACAACGGCGGTGCGCTGAAAATACCCCACGACGTAACCACCCGTTACACAGAGTATAAGGTCAGTTACATTCATTTGTTTGTATATGTGGGTACATTTCAGATAGCAAGCTGGATCCAAAAATAATATGAACTCGAACGACTGTGCAAATGATTATAATGCCAGTCTAGTGTATCGCTGAATGTTAACAACGCGGCCCACTTGGTTCACAAGCCCCACGGTGGGAAGCTATGTACAAGCAAGCAATTATAAAACCTCCAACACAATTGAGGAATTCATGTTAAGCGAAAGGATAAGATCACAAGGTAACGATACAGTATGGTGTCCCGAATCTTCCACCGACTCACACGAGGCCAATGAAAGTGCCTGTGTACGCTATTTATATTGTCAACAGCAGCGGCGAACCTTCGCTTGTCGTCATGGATAAGGATGCACTCTGCCTCTGACGGCATCTCGCGATTGTCGGCATGAGTGGCAAAGGCGCCTTGGACAAACGGGCCGTACTCGCATCGTTCAAGGACCGAGTGCTGGCAGCTCACCCCGAAGCCGATTTAATCGAAAATGGTTTTGTTGTCGATGGTTTTCTCGACTCGACCCTCACGCGATACTTGGAGGCTCGCAACTACGTCGAAAACGACTCGATGAAGATGATCACGGAGACGCTGGCGTGGCGGCAGCAGCATCAAGTGGCCACCATCATGGAGCGTCCGTTGGCACAAGAAAAGGTGGACGCATTGCGCAAGTATCACGTAAGCATGCCGATGCGAACGTATGTATTCCATGTCCAACCTAAACGATGACGGTAGCCGCAAGGCGAACACGGAGTTGACCGTGACGGCAACATCTTGTACGTCGAACGCATGGGGTACCTCGATGCCGAGCACCTGATGAAGCACGTCACGCTAGACGAAGCGGTGCACTATCACATTCAAAAGTACGAGTTCCAACACCACGTGACGTTCAAAGACGCGGTAAGAAACGAGTCGTCGCGTACGCATCGTGCTGACGATGCTTGGGTTTAGACAGCCGCACAAGGGCGCGTGGTGAACAAGATGACTGTCATTTATGACATGCAAAACGTGGGGCTGCACACGTTCAAGAAGGTAGTGTTTGACTTTGTCAAGCAAACCAGCGCCATCGGCCAAGGTAACGTTAGTACAGGAATCCATGTCAGTTACATTATTGGTGTGGTGCAATGTGACTTACTGCGACATATTGTGCACATTTACCTAGATCATTACCCCGACACACTGAGCAAGGTGTTTATCGTGAACGCACCCTTCTTCTTCTTCACGACGTGGAAACTTGTCGAAGTGTTCCTGAATCCCACCACACGCAAGAAGATTCACTTTCTCGGCGGCGGCTTCAAGAACGAGCTCGTGAAGCACATCGATCCGACTCAACTGCCAAAGTGGCTCGGCGGCACCTGCGAATGCTTTCCATCACGACCGCACGGTAACGAACGATACGTCCACCTGCGGTGGTCTTCAAGGGGGGATGTCTAGGGGGATGCATTTCGTGTGTTGAAAACACGCAGACCAAGGCTTGCTTGGCCATGGATGAATACCTCCTGGCCAAGAAATTGGCAGCCTCCCTCCTCCCTGAAGCCCCACTTGGTCCAGTGATGGCCACAGCACCCCAATAATTATGGGACTTTGTATTAATAGTTAACTACAGTAAGCTTTCCTTCGTCCACTTGATCGAATACAGATTATGTCGGCAAGTCGGTCTCAACGACGGACCCTGCAAAGGTAATGAAGGTAGTTGATCCCGTTACTGTAGTGTTGCACTAAGAAAACCCCGTTAACGTTACCATTGGAGCACATCCTCCCGGACATGGCCATAAATTCAAACCGCCGCAAGTAACCCTACACCCACAGTTCTTGGTAAAATATTACTCCGGAGTAATCACATAAAAATTGCGAAAAGTGTTCTACACCCGCGGCTTTCGGTAGAATATTGGTCGCCCCAACGCATTCCTTGTTGAGTGCAATAAAATTTGTCGAGTGTACCTGCGGGAATGTCGTTGAAAAGTGAGGTATAAGGAGTAGATGTACTACCATGTACCGTATATAGGTCCAGACATCCATATAGGTTCGGACTCCCATATAAACTAATGAAATCAAAGTATAAATGCTTACAAGGTATCCTTCGCGCGTATAATACCCCCTACAATGTATAAATACTCCATCATCACATAAAGTATTCATTTATAGAGGTTTTTTGTCGATCAAACTCGCGCGCTCCATTCTTGTCCCCCGCTGCCATGACCAACGACACCCCCAGCGCCACCACTCGCCGCAAACCAACTGGCCGCCCTGTCTCCAAGTATGGACGCAAAGCACACGTGGTCAAGTTCAAGTACAATACTGTGGACTATCAGCATAAACTCGATGTAATCCATCAAGTTGCTGATGTTGGCATGTCTGCGTTCCTGGACTCGTACTGTGTCAATGCATCTACCACTCTACGCGAAACGACACGCAAGAAGGTGTATGCATGGATGAAGCAAAAGGATCTCATCGAAACCATGGCTGCTGCCCCCCGCACTGCTCAGCAAAAGTGCTTTCGTGAACGCGGGATCGGAACGACATTGCCTGTGCACGAAGAAGAGCAGTTGGCTCGGTGGGTGCATGGCATGCGGAAGGATGGCATCCCGGTCACGTACAACATGCTACAAATCATGGCGTTAGAGACGGCCATTGATGTCGGCCTGTCCGAAGACGAGTTCAAGGGTGGCTGGCACTGGATTCAAGGGTTCAAGCGGCGACATGGCCTCACCTTCCGCGCAAAGACCCGCATTGGCCAGGACTCCAACCAGGACGGCGCCGACACGTTGAGTGCCTTCTCCGAGCGTGTCTTGCTCACGGCCATTGCCAACGACGTTCAGGTGATCTACAACGCGGACGAAACCGCCGTGAACTATGAATACCTGCCGACCAAGACTCTGAACGCGGCCAAGGAAGATACCGTTTGGGTCAAGTGCGGGGGGAAAACGAAGGAGCGTGCGACTGCGATGCTTCTTGCAGACTCTACCGGCCGAAAGTACCCTTTGTTCCTGGTGCTCAAAACAACCAAGTCCAAGGTCAAGGAGGTCGTCCAAGAGAACCTTACCTGGCGGAATGGCTTTGGTCGGCGTGTCTGGAGTGAGGTCGAGCCCCTTCAAGATCG